TGTGTGTGTGTGTGGGGGGGGGGGGGGTTGTTTGGTATTTCAGTCCCACAGAAAATTCAGTTCAATTTTTTTAATCGTGCCCTCTTGTCCCATAGCTCTTCACAATGACTGTATCGTTAATACCATCGCGTTTTGCTATAAAAACAAGGAGTTTAAGAAAAAATTACTCCACGAAGAAAGAAAAGAAGGATTCCATATTTTTGTGCAAGTGATACATATTCATATTATAAACGTTCTGTCCAAAGATGGCGTTATATGTCTAGTATGAGTACATTATGGCATTATAAAACATTATTTTATTATAGTTCGGTTTTGATGTATAGCCCTGTAAAGTAAACTGATTGCAATATCTTCTTCTTAATCCCACCTACATTTGGGATCGGCCGATCGGGTATTTTGCATTAATCAAGAATTTGGCTGGCCCTGACAGCTACCCTGAATATACTTAATACGGTATATTGACATGTTAATTCGCACTGCGATACACCATACACATCTAATGAACAGAGTAAAATAGCTTTTCCGGGAACTGATTAGATGAATGGTTGTTATATAAAAAAGTAGGTTGTAGTATACTTCAAACAAGAAACATTGGCACACACGTGTAACAATTTTAAAACTGCATAGTTTATCAGTTCAAAATTATTTAAACTTAATCACCTCGTAATCTTACGTATATAATTTTATTTTCTTACAAAAACCACTTGACTTTCTTAATGAACTGTCTCAGACGTCCTAAAACCCCCGGTTCATAAATTTCTCGGAGGTTTTAAACAATATTCTCCCCACCTTTGTGTGTGTGTGTGTGTAAAATGCGGAGTGGTTCAACAAAACACACTTTTCTCCGTGAAAACGTACACTGATGTGACCTTTATGATTAGATAATAGGCTGTTATGTGTGACATTGGTAGGCTAGGACTTGTTTGTTTGTAATTAAGCACAAAGCTACACAAATGGCTATCTGTGCTCTGCTCACCACGGGTATCGAAACCCTGTTTCTAGCGTTCTAAGCCCGCAGACTAAGTCCTCTGTGCCACTGGGGGGCGGTAGGCTAAGCCAAGTAGCCAAAGTTGTTCGGGGCTCTTGAATGCCCGTGACAATTACTTGACAATCTCTCCCCCTCTGTGCTGTACTGCATAGTAAGTCTTTGTAAGGCTTAAATAGATTGAATAATAATACAATTCACTTACTTAATCTAGTTCACACCATGAAACGAATGATTTAAATAGTCCTTAGACCACTACTATGGCTGTGTTATTCCAGTTGGTTTGATGAGCTCTGGTATTTAGGGAAAGGCCTCGTCGGAGTATTTCACTTGAAATGCAAAAGAGGTGTTATCGCCATGTTTGGAAATTCTTCACAAGAGGTTAAATGGAGCATGCAATTAGACTAGATACATGTCCACATTGCACACAAGTTTGTCACAATACTTTTTCCAATAAATTTTATTGTTTCAACAACGTGTTCCTCTATTTTGTAAATACTTATCGGAAAAAAATGTCTGCGCAAACTCAGCTATGCCTACAATTTTGACTGGACAGTGTGAATTAGACCTCACGATGAGAAATTTGACAACATCGGGTTCAAGCATTGGTAAGGCCACATGTTAGTAATTAGATGTAAACCAGTCATAGAGTGGCGAAATATAACGACTGAATTATTCGGGTTAGGGTTCACGAGTTTCATTTATCCTTAGTTCATATTTTCATGAAATAATTTACAATTATGATCTAGCCAACTTGACAAACTCTCCACGATTTTAGAAAAGGGGAAGTTAATAATTTGTCGGGTGATACATTCGTTTTTTTGACCACCTAAATTGCTGAAATGCAATGATTTAATTAAAACATAAAGATGTGAAATATATATAAGTAATCGCAGTAATAATGGAAAAATATACACGAACATACATTAGGTGCTTTAACATTCAGACTTGGTTCCGTCTTTTATTTCTTTTAATCAATCATTAGCAATTAAATGTTTAATACATATTATTGTTGTGTGAATTTCTAGAAAGCTTAGACGTAAGCTCACTTCTAAATCAAAAACTAAGTACCAAAAAAAAGACTTCATTCAAAATACTTATATGCTTTATTGACCTTATCCGAGTCGGCCGTTACTAAGCGTAATTGAAATACAGGCGAAAGTTATCCCTCATATACAATAGTAATTCTTTCTGTATAAGTCAGTCCACTAACAGGATCCCATACATTACAGAAGCGTTCACCCCATTCTTAAATATAAAAATAAAACAAAGGTAAACGCTAGAGGAGTAATGGCATTGAACACGTGGAGATCCTATCGCAATACACGTGTTGTTGCGCAGTCTTCGTGATCTTTATATTTCAAGACTAACGCGTATACCACAAGACCAGTTAGTTTTTCTGTTGTTAAGCGCAAAACTACACAATGAGCTATCTATGCTCTGCCCACCACGGGTATCAAAACCCGATTTCTAGTGTTACAAGTCATGAAACTTTCCGCTGTTCAGGTGGAGGGGGTTACTGAGACACCTAACTCATTCATTATACTATAACTTGTCCTAGTTTAGGGTATCGTCCCTCCCTAAAAACACCTGGCGTATATTATAAAGACAAATCGAAGGTAGTCAATAACTTGCAAGAAAATTAAAATAACTCGGCGTCTATCTGATGAGAAAAACGTTTTTTTCTCTCTCAGTTAGGAACCTTTATGAAACTTTTTGTCCAATAATTATAGTGTTAATATTACCATAGTACTAATTTAAATGAATGCGTAATATCCTACTTGCCACTGTTTTGAATAAAAGAAAAATACTTTAGAAATTTAGTGACAGACTTTTGCATAAATTGTGTTTCATTAAGATACATTTTTGTCATTTCAGATTTTTATTATAAACCTGTGTCGAAAAAAGAATTTACCAGTTTAATCACCTGTTCTGAACAATATCCAAATTATTTACTTATTTCTTGACTTGTGTTCTGGGTGTGTCAGATTCTTTAAACCTTTCCCACCCACAATACAACATTTTAAAATTCGTTCCACCTTTTTGGTATCTCTTTTTCAAATCTGACGCTATACGCCATCTGCCTTCAGTTAAAACTCTGACTTTCTCAATTGGTTAAAACAATCAAATTAGTTACCGTGTTTCTACCAATCAAAGCGTTCGCTTACACCAAGCTCATTCGCTGGAGGTCAAACTTGCTTTCGGTTTCTTGGTTTAGTGTAACAGTCCGTGTTGTTTTACGCTATCGATGCGATTGAAAACCTTGTCACTTGTATATATAAATAGTCGACGCGCGAAAGTCAACTGGTTCGCCTTGGTAGTGATTTATTTTTTAATCAATTAATGTGTAATTTATACGTTTGGGAGATAAATTTCGAACGGTATATTTAAGCTGAAAAATTAAATTAAGAAAAAAGTAAGGTGTTTTGTTGGAATTGCTACATTAAAACTTCGAATTATCAAAACAAGGAGAGGAAGGTATATTTAAGGGACGCTGATCGCCTACCGTGTGGCCTTCGTTAAAACTGTTCAGGTGTGCTCGGTAAAAGCTACGGCAACTATTACTTATACTGTTAGTCACAACACAAATGTAAAATGAATCTTTGCTAAGCCTAAAATTAAATTTTAAAAGCTTTACATGTACCAATAACTGTATGCTTTTCTTTTGTCGTGAAGTATTAGAATCTTTAATTTTTTTAATGCTTGTCTATATATTATTTTGTGTAAACGATGAAAAAGAAAAGAAAGGAACGATAGTTGACTGTTACCACGAGTTCAATGAATTTATTTTATAATTATAAATGAATGAAAACAATGCACAAATTTAATAATTTATTCTCTCAATTATTAATCATTAATGTTGTGAACTTTACACTTAATTGTGCGTAACATTGCCAGTATGAATAATTTCGTAATGTCATAATCAGTTAGTTTTACTTTTAGCTTTACTTGGCAGAAAGGCTAAAATCGTAGTAGACAACATTAACAGGTAAACTTAAAAAGTGAAGATTAGTGATTTTTTGAGTTAGCAAGAAGGTATTGTGGTCAACTGGTAGGCCTACTAAAAAAATCGTGGTGAGTCGCTTACTTTGAAAGCAACGTTATGCACTACTTGGTGTATCGAGGGACTTGCCAATAAATAATGTAAGCTCAACTGCGTTAGTAATGGGGGGAAAAAACTGAAGCTTCATTAAAAGCATTAGTGGTTCACAGTTAAGAAAATGATATGACTTAGCCATTCATTTGTTTTAAACTTAATTGTATGGACTTCTTGTTGTAAGTCATAAATATAGGTCAAACTCGTAAAAAAATTAGTTCAATTTTCAAATGAGAGTACATTACCTATACCAGATGACAATCATCACGGACTAAAATTTGCAGTTGGTTATACAATATAGCTATTGACATTTTGGTAAGCAAATATAAAGTCTTGGATGTGCTGAAATGAAAGTCACCGTGAACTTTGGTAATGTGCGGGTGATAGTGCCATGTGGAAACGGAGAAATCTTGGTCCGAAAGTTGATGGACTTGTCTGTTACCCGTTACAAAAAAGCAATAGGAAAGGTAAGATCTTATAATCAGTGTTATACAATTTGCTAATTCGGGAATTGTATACATATATATATTTATAAAATGCACACTATTTTGAATTATCCTGTTTTATTGAGACTTGACAATGACATATAATGTTGTTACCTTGATATTACAATCTCCCTTAGCTTTCAAGGCGAATGTCGAACACTTCCATACATGTAATGCTATGTTGTTTGTTTTCAGTTTGGAACACGTTTTTCTTCACAAAAACTTCTCTCAACTTGCAAGTTACAGTAAAGGCGCCACCATTGTTTACACTCGTCACTTTTGATTGTTATATAGAACAAATGTAGATTGTTTCATATTATTAGACATTGTGCTCGAACCTCCTGTTATTCTGCACATCCTGTGGAAAACAACCCATCTACAGTTAACATGATTTTTACCACAAATGTTAGGCCTGTTGGTTTCTAATGCTTTACCAGCTGTTGTCTTTTAATTAAACCTTAATTTTTAAAGTATTATCTTGCATTATTAAAGTGAAGACTTTGGTGAGGAAATGGCATTTTCGACGAGTTCACGGACGTACAACCAAGAGGAAGAGTTAGTTACTGAGGGTGGATGGCTGTCTGAGAGAGTAGTTGGGTCTCATAGAAGTCCTGCACTAGATGTCGGACTTTTGCCAATCCTACAAAAGTCCATAATTTCATTCTCGGTGCAGTTGCAGACTGGGGAAGAAGGACTACCATAATCTGGTACACCCAGAACTGCTTATCAAGTTCTTCCTGTCTGGACATTATTGCAGTGAGTCTGAGATACCAACTGAGAGAGACTGAAGGTATTGTTGATGGACCTGATCAGTCTTATTGACAGGAAAGACAGCGAGCATCAACTGACAAAGATGGTGTCAAGTTGCAGTGATGTTTCGACTAGTGGAGAACAGCTATCCATGGGCCCGAGTTCAAGGCTTGAAAGAAGAGTCCTACCAAGAGCTTGGCATCTTACATTGATGATCTGTATCATTTGCATGGTAAAAGAGATAAAAAAATAAAAAACCGTAGCAGGTATTTAGTTTTTAAAGAAAAGATGAACTTTCCTAAACTGGGGTGTTCAGGGATATTAATATCCCCCTACGTCCCACTCGCGAGAAAGAAAATATTGCTAAGATCATGAGTTTAAAAGAAATTTCAGAGTTAATTCATATCTGCTACTTGGTTGGTGTGGAGATTTGGCAGATGTCCGGGAGTCCAAAAAGCAGAGATAAGACCAAGGCTGATGAGAAGAAGCAAGACGACAACACTCGACAAAGCATATGAGGTCACCTAGTGGCTGGGATCTATAAAACCAATACCATGGCTGGTACAAAAAATCCAAGAGTGCTAGGGAACTTGTTGTGGGTGGTGGGTGGGAGAGATCCCCTAGCAAACCCATTTTCACGGGACAGGCGTTGCATGGGAAGACATATCCTGCGTTGATTTTGGTAGGTTGTGAGGATATCATCATAGACAAGTTTATTGAGAGAGGGGGGGGTTACCTAGTGAGGAAATGAGGTACCAGTTAGGCGTGAGAGACTTTCTCCCTCTGACTGAGGCAGTTTCTGTTGCATTGAGGTTTGAAGTTGTAATTGCATATAGGTCACATGAGAGGAAAAGCCTGCTGTGGCTGTGCCTCAGACACCGTGCCCCTCCCGAACTGATTGCATAATGCCAAAATCAAGCTTTGAGAGTAAATCGGTAACCGAGACATCCTGTACTGCACACACATTCATTAACCTATGGGATCACGTATGCCTTCTTGTAAGGTTTCAGTAAAGTTGAACATACTATATAAGCGTATATAGCAATCTTTTTCCACTAGTGGAACAGATGATACCTTGAGGATACAACCTTCCTTATTTTTTCATAGGAATGACCAACAGTGACGTGAATAGTGCATGCTCTCTAAGAAAAATATCATTATTGTTTCATGTGTATAACGTTATGTTTTCTCAGAGTGGAGCATATTTTCGCCAACTTCAGATATATTTTTCTTAACTGGATCTTTCTGAGAGCTCTCAGCCTCCTATAAAAACATCTTTCTTCATTTACACTTCACAGTTTATCTTTGTATATATTTTTTGTCCTAACCTCCTGTTATTCTGCAGGTCCTACCCAATTATTCTTGAGGAAAGTCGGTGTACATGATAATATCACCAGTGACAAGGAAGCCCTAGTGGTTGTTGAAACTTATTATTCTGTGATTCACTTGATGTGCCGAGAAATGTGAGGAATAGGGTGGGAGGGATAACAAAAGTGGATCACAGAAAATGATTCTTTTTTCCCAAACACAAATCACTGAAAAATTTGCATATTCAATCACAATTCACAGAAAATAAGTCAAATTCTTTCTTTGAAACAAACTAACAAAATGTTTTGTGTAAAACTCTTTTTTTTTAATTTACTTTTTTTTGTAAAGGACACTTTTCAGAAATGAACCATTTACTATCTAACCATTTCTACAAAGCCCATAACTTCTTTATAAGTATTTTGAAAGTTTTAGTGTCGTCACCAATTTTATTTATACGGGACACTTTTGCTTCAATTTATGATCCCAGGCACATTTTTCTGGCCTCTTTCTTCGGTCCAGTTCGGACGGTGATGGTCTGAATAACAGTATTTAGTAGCTCAGTTTTTGTCTTGTCCAACGCAACTTTCTGTCGTTGCTTTCCATCTATGAACTCATTGCAATTCTGAGAGAATGAACTATTTAGGTAAAATATCACAGTTCCTTTGATTATTTGATCCCTGTTTTTAGTAAAGTGAATGGTCGATGTCCTGCGTTTCACTGTCAGACCTGTTGAATTTACTATTTTATGGTACGCGAGAAGATAAAACCTTTACACGAGTTTAGCGGCGCCAAATGGCTGAAAAGTGCATTCGTTTTAAAGAACAGGAAATCTGTAGATCGAAAACGGACAATATGTATTCACAGTAACGGCAAATTAAAAGTCTGCCATCGTGGAGAATAGAACAAAAATAATTCTTCGTATCCGGATATTAATAAGCTCTATGCACGGAATATAACAAATCAATATCACGAGTCACAAGAAGTAATAAACGTGTCATACAACCCCCCGTACCCACCCGCAATATATGGACAGATTGAAGAAGTACCCTGCGAAAGTAGTACTAATTTTTTATTTTCAAACCTGAACAAAAGAGGAAAAATTCAAAATCTGGTCTTTTTTTTTTCATTTTAAATAATTTAAGCTGTCTTTTGAGCTTATAAAATACTAATACCAATTATCATAAATACTGAATACTATTGGATTCTTGTTTTTTTCTAATTTTGAAGTATTGATATTATTATAGACTAAATTTGTAAGATGTTATATGATTATTAGCTGTATTTTCATAATGTTATTGTTGGCTTTCGGTAGAAAAATATTTATTTCAACTTCAGTTGGTGTTTTTTTTTTAAATGTGTAAGTGTGTTAACGCATTTAAGTCAGAATATTTAATTGTAATAATAATACAAGTAATATTTGTAATAAATATGTAATATATACCCATGCTGGCTTTTGCTTTTCTGTTGCCGGTAAGCTATTATAATAGAATGTTTTAATGCTATAGATAAGAATAGCCAAAAAAAAAAAAAAAGTAATTGTTAATGTTACGGTTTGAACGCGCAAATCTTGGGAAGTGTTGGAAACAAATAGGCTTAGAATTCATGATAAAAATTACGATAGTCTGCTGATATATTTGTATTTGTCATCGCTGGGACTGTTTTTGAATTATTTGATATATGTGTATATATGTATAGAATATTGCATATTATTGAATTTTTTGTTTTCTTTATACAGTATTGAAATTAATTGATTAAATTTGTAAAATATTTTCTGATTTCTAGTAAACAAGCATCTTTTTTCTTTTTTTTTTCTAAAACTCAAAATCAGTCAGAAGTGTCACCAGTTGTTCCGACATAAATCCCAGGTTTACTTTGTAATAAGAGTGCAACACTGTTTGCATCCTGTACATTTAACACCATAAGAACAGACGTTGGCTGAAGAGCAGCTTTAAAGCTGCGAAAGCGTTGCAAACCACCCAAAACCAGAATAAAAGCAAATCACAATTCAAACCTGGTGGTGCTTTGAAGATATATAATAATTTTAAATAACAAAACAGGCCCAAACAAACAACGAAGTTGAGGACGCTAAATTAAAAGGATCCAAGGGGTACAGGCTATAATATGGGATATAAAATGTGCCCTGGGTTCTGGAGGAGACTGAAGAAATAGGACCCACAATGCGGTGGGATACATCGTTTATCAGTCTTAACCTCCTTTCGCCAGTCTCACATGTTGGAGAAAACAAAACAGAATCGTCAATCAGAAATAAAATAGAAATATATGTTAGGAGAGCTAGATGGGGGATATAGATGTGGGACGTTGTGGTCTTAAGCACCTATTTTCATTGCCTGCATGCAGCTATGAGAACGTCCCACATCTATATCCCCCTTCATTGCCTGCATGCAGCTATGAGAACGTCCCACATCTATGTCCCCCTTCATTGCCTGCATGCAGCTATGAGAACGTTCCACATCTATATCCCCCTTCATTGCCTGCATGCAGCTATGAGAACGTCCCACATCTATATCCCCCTTCATTGCCTGCATGCAGCTATGAGAACGTTCCACATCTATGTCCCCTTCATTGCCTGCATGCAGCTATGAGAACGTCCCACATCTATATCCCCCTTCATTGCCTGCATGCAGCTATGAGAACGTCCCACATCTATGTCCCCTTCATTGCCTGCATGCAGCTATGAGAACGTCCCACATCTATATCCCC